ACAGTGGAAGTCACATGACGCTTGTAACACATTGTAAGCTTCTAGAAAATTCATGTCCCTTCATGAAGCCTCGAGTGTTTACTAGATATGCAGTATTCTTGTATAAGACCGCCAAGAAGTGATGGCAACAATGTAATTGAATTGCAGACAGAGATAAAGACGGACAATTGAGTCAAGCGCGTGAGTCATTCGTTGTGAATTATAGCATTTGTTATAGCGTGACTGTGGAACTTAAATGTATTGCAAAGTTGTATTCAGAAAGAATAAACTATTTTTATTTAAGAAAGGACTTGTATCGCTAAAGTTTCTTCGGAAAGAATTTTTAAGGAAAATTAACAAATGAACACAGAGACGTAACAAACTGGTGTCAGAAGTGGGATAAAAAAAAAGAAGATGGAAACAAGAAGCGGCAAATCAAACTACAGCTTAGCAGATTTGATGGCAGCAATACAAGAACAGAAACAGAAACAAGAAGAACGAGAAAAGAAACAAGAAGAGAGATTACAGCAGTTGTTGGAGGAAAAAGAAAAGAGACAAGAAGAAAGATTACAGCAGTAGCAAGAAAACCTGCAACAATGGCAGCTCGAACAGCACAATAAACAAGAGAGATTACAGCAGGTGTTGGAGGAAAAAGAAAAGAAACAAGAATAAAGACTACAGCAGTGGTTGGAGGAGAAAGAAAATAAACAAGAGGAGAAATTACAGCATTTGTTGGAGGAAAAAAGAAAAGAAACAAGAAGAGAGACTACAGCAGTGGTTGGAGGAGAAAGAAAATAAACAAGAAGAGAAATTACAGCAGTTGTTGGAGAAAAAGAAAAGAAACAAGAAGAGAGATTACAGCAGTGGAAACTGGAACAAGAAAGGAAACAGGAAGAAAGTCTCCAACAGTTGCAGGAAAGTCAACAGCAACTACAGGAAAGTCAACAACAGTGGCAAAAAGTACAAATGGAAAACATTAGTAAATTTCAAAGCAAATTAAATATATTAAGGGATGATACATTGTCTTTTAAATAAGGAGGATACATTAACCATCTACTTAATCAGCCCAAGACAATGGCAAGCCCCTTCCAGACCCAGCAACTAAACCCTAGTGCAGACATCTTCAGTCCTGTTAGAAGTCACATCCCAGATATGAATGTCAACAATAGGGGTGATCCAGTACGAAGGAAGCCACAGGAATTCGATGGGAAGGCACCGTGGGAAGCACATAGAGCAAAAATTGAGCTACTGGAAGAGATGAATGAATGG